GTCTGTCCGTCTGTCCGTCCGTCCGTGACCTCAAGTTTTCGTCGACGAGAAAATGCGCTCTCTGTCACTCACTGCAGTGAGTACTGAGTTATATTTTTTCCCCTTGAGTGGGTCATCCTGACTCAGTTTGTCCTGGCAAAAGGCTTACACGTTTGCTCCCGCCTCGAATGATTGGTAAGAAATATTGTCATTATTTGGACAATATGACATACTTATTTTACTGAGTGAAGGATTAAGGTTTGCGATGCTGTGCAGTGGCGAACCTCCTGGGGAGCTTCGGGGCCGCCATCACCTTCGAGACCTTCATCACCCTGGGGCTGGTGCTGGCCATACCTGCATCGGCAGGTAATGAGGAGGTGATACTGCATCACCAGCGATGTGGGAGGTGCTGGGGAGGTACAGTGATGTGGGAGGTGCTGTGGAGGTACCATTGATGTGGGAGGTGCTGGGGAGATGGTCCCAATTTTTAGTTCTGGGCGAACTTTCCCCATGCACTCTAAAACAATCCTCAAACGACCTTAGATTATCTCAATAAGTATAATATAATTAATAATAATAATAAATAATTTAATACTAACTATTTAATAATATAATTAATAATAAATAAGCATAAGTAGTACATATATTAATAATATGCGTGCTGAAAATTATTTCTAGAAGTACCCTGGAAGTAAATTGATATGTGCACAAGCGCATACAAACTTCTTTGCAACACTGCATTTCGTATGTGCTTGTCAGTGCTCCATGGTCTACTCAGTCCCCGTATCCCCCATGACCAATTAAGACCCCTTTTTACCCCAGAGCTCCTTCTTATCCCCATATTACCCCAGATCTCCTTCTTATAACCCCTCCTTATATTATTCTCCCCATATTACCCCAAATCCCTCAAGTCTCCAAAAAATTATCTAGTGCCCTCTCTTATCCCTACATCACGACAGACCACACAAGTCTCCCCGTTCCCCTCAGTTTCCCACTTATCCCCATAACACCCAGGCCTCTTAAGTCCCCAACATCACCCAGTGCTGGACGTGCGGTGACCCTCCGTTTCCCCCAGTGTCGCCACATACCTCCATAGCCCTCAAGACCTCATAAGTCCCCAACATCCCCCGGTGCTGGACGTGCGGTGACCCTCCGTTTCCCCCAGTGTCCCCACATACCTCCATAGCCCCCAAGACCTCTTAAGTCCCCAACATCCCCCAGTGCTGGACGTGCGGTGGTACGGGGTTCGCTTCGAGGGGATGAAGCTGGCGGGGACATCCCTCTTCCTCATGCCATATGGCCCATTCATCCATCCCTCTTCCTCATGCCATATGACCCGTTCATCCATCCCTCTTCCTCATGCCATATGGCCCGTTCAAACCCTCTTCCCCGTAGGCTGGGGCGGCAGCGCAAGCGCCACCAGCAGCGCCAGCCTTCAGAACCCATCGACTACCGGACCGGTCTGATCTCCAGATCACATCTCAGGTCCGCGTCCGGCCTCATCCGCTGAACAACAAGTCCGCAAAGTTGGTATGATCAACAAATGTCCGTAAAATCAACAACACCGGGTTAGAAAAGCTGGAATGATCCGCAAAATCCCGTAAATCAAGAGATATCGGAATACAATATCCGGATAGCATTTTGTGGATTCCGCCTTTGCAAAATCAGCTAGAAAATGTTGAATAAAGAAAGATATCTACAAAAATTGCTCAATAGTTGACTGAATTTTAAAATTTGGATCTGCCAGAACATCTGAGGCCCTCATTTGATTGTAATCAATGAATACTTCAACCGACGGGATCAGTGAAAAAAAAAATCACGAATAAGATTGGTAAAATTCATTATAAAAAATCCTGTTTGTCAGTTTATTATATGCCGGATGCACTGAAGTTACGATCTGGATATTGACTCAGATTTATGGTCCTAATATTGACGTAGATTTGACCAAAGAAAACGCCATAGCACGGTGAACAATACCGCTCGGCTTGGTTTCAAGAGGCTAGTTTTTGGCTCTAGTTGATACCACGACAACGTTTTCCAGCCACCTTGTCGTGTGTATGCAAACTTTAAAGTAATTGGGAAGAATATTGCCGCTCAAATATATTCTTCTTATTTTGAACTACATCTACAAATTTACAAGGAACGCGCCCTATTTCTCCCTACCCCCGTCACTCTTTTAGCTTCCTCGATCAGACGGTTTCCTAACTGGGGTAAATTCAAATGTGGGGGAAAACTGTACATTTTTCTGGGGGTAGTGTATAGATTGGTTTCTTTGGAAGCGGTAACATGCCCATTGAGTTTAGTTCAATTATGTAGTAATTAGTATGCCCATTTATGTTGAATTAGGTAGTTTGGCCAAAAGCTCCAATTCCACTGGTGTAGTCAAGATTTGTCTGCTCTAGCCTAGCGCTTCTTTGGCCTAAGCTCCCAACACCTCGGCTCAAATGTCCCTTACTTACACTCATTATATTGTCAAATAGGTCTTAAATTTTACAGAGGAACTAATTAGTTCGTCTTTTTACTCGATATGCATGTGAACTACGTTTTTGTTCGAGCTAGATGCCTATATGGAAGCTACATATTTGTTCTAGACACCTATGCGACGTAGATATTCTAGATTTAGATCTAGATACTTATTATAGCAATGCTTTTGTTTGATCTGTTCTGCATCAATTCTGTTATTTTTTGGTTCAACAAAGATTGCTTCACCAATGTCATAGCCACATTCGGCCAACATCATTCGTTACGATTGATAAAGTTGAAATGAAGTTGCAATGTTATCTGAAAAATAACAAGTGAATACAGCTTTTAGCAATTGTGCTGAGTCACGCTAGCGAATGTTATCATAGTAATGTTTGTCTCGTTTCGCTGCATAGAAGTTACTCTATTTTAAAAATACTATTCTTTGTTCTATAGTATTTAATGTAGTTACAATTAAAGTATATAATCAAAATATGCTGCAGCGATCGTAAGTTCAACTAACATCACCAGTTCTAATGCAGCCGAAATGAGCCAAGTAATCGCATTCATTTCCCTCTCATTGTTCATAGTGAGCTCAAGTTAATTGGGATCCTTTACGGGTGATAAATGAATCATTCAAGGGTGATAAATTAACCCTTCAAGGGTGATAAATGAACCCTTTAAGGGTGATAAATTAACCCTTCAAGGGTGAAAATAACAAGTGAATACAGCTTTTAGCATTTGTGCTGAGTCACGCTAGCGAATTTTATCATAGTAATCTTTGCCTCGTTTCGCTGCATAGAAGTTATTATTTTTTTAAAATACTATTATTTGTTCTACAGTATTTAAAGTAGTTAAATTTAAAGTATATAATCAAAATATGCTGCAGCGATCGTAAGTTCCACTAACATTGCCAGTTCTAATGCAGCCGAAATGCGACAAGTAATCGCATTCATTTCCCTCCAATTGTTCATAGGGAGCTCAAGTTACTTGGGATCCTTTACGGGTGATAAACGAATCATTCAAGGGTGATAAATGAACCCTTCAAGGGTGATGAATTAATCCTTCAAGGGTGATAAACGAATCATTCAACTTTCAAGGGTGATAAATGAATCCTTCAAGGGTGATAAATGAATCATTCAAGAGTGATAAATGAACCCTTCAAGGGTGATAAATGAACCCTTCAAGGGTGATAGATGAACCCTTCAAGGGTGATAAATGAGCCCTTCAAGGGTGACATGTTTTCAAACATTTTCAACACGATAAAATAACGTTGCAGTCCCAGGCCACGCAGGAGCGCCGTGAACACATAAATTGTCTTCATGAAACTTATTATAATGTAATACTCATTAGTGCTTTAATATAGTTTAATAATATTATGTGAAGAAATAAGCAGGCTTATTCAATTGTTTTTGTGATTAGAAAAATTATTTATTAGCTAAAGGCATAGCCTTCCTGCCAAATGCGCATGTACAAATAGAGCGTGTGACGTGTGAATGCCGGCAATACCGAGTCTGCCATGATTTAGTTTATTAAAAAAACAGATCATATAACACCAATAAATATGTCACCAACATAGCGCTACCAATAAACCAATACCAACATTCTGCCAACATAACATCGTCTAGGACTGTAGTTGTATAACGTCAACCAAATTACAACAGTAAGAAAAAATGCCTTCCACATTAATGTTACCAGCATCATACCGACAACATAACACATGTTCTCAATGCACAAATGTAATACGGTACGTAGTGGTCATGTAGCGCTGTAGTGGTCAACTATTTAGACATGGCAGACTGCGATGTCTTAAAAAATTAACCGTTAATAATATTCGTGTCTATAAGACTGGCAACGAGAATTACCATCAGTAGATAGCGCTTATATTCGCAAGTTTTCAAAATAATTTCATTTCATACTCGTGGTCTTCGAGCTAGCGGAATGTGACTCGTAAACATTAATTTCTCATGGTTTATATGAAAATTTTCCACTTGGTACCATGTCAAATAATCCATATTGTGTCAGACGCGAATATACAATTTTTACGTAAGATTTTTATGCTTATATAAGTAACCACGCCGTTATTACTGGATAGTTATATGCGAATATTTGCATGCTTATCAGTAAACTAATAAAAGGTTTTATTGGATTGAGCGTCTTTGCTTCACCCTAAAAATACGAATGAAGTCTAGCTAACAATTTTCCTGTCAGCGTTTCTCTGTCTAGAGCTGCAAAGGTGAAAGAAACGATGTAAGTTCAACTATTCATTATTCCAACAAATCACACTAAGCAATACATCGACAATGTACAAGTGATATTCAACCCACTATCGAGTTGACACACAAAACAGCTTTCAACGGTCTATCCTCGCAGCAAACTCACAGAATCTACCGGTAATGTCAGACAAGAAGTCAATTTACATGCACTAACAACTAAATTGAGCACAATAACTATCACGTAACAATATACACTAAAATGAACAAGTTCAGTGCGAAGGTTGGAAGGCTTATTATTGGCACTTTTATTGTTTCATGGCATATTTTTAATTAATCATGGATTAAATTGATCATGCCTTGGTTCATCTTTAATGTTGATCTATCTTTTTTCTGTTCAAGAATCATTTGAGTCAACCGTAGCCTGGATAAACACGGTTTGTGAATATATCATGAAACTTTTTTATGAGGTCAAAACAGTGGGCGCTTCTGAGACGCTGTTGGGTTGCCGCCACCAACACCACTGCCATTGCCACCAACACCACCGTCAATGCCACTGCCAACGTCACAACCGCCAACGCTCAATGTCGGAGCTGCCAAAGACTCGTCGGTGTCGGGCAGCGTCTGGTGGAAACAAAATTTACATTTTTTTACAAAAAATATCGAGAGATTGAGTTCATTAAGAGTAATTTTCAAGAAGATTAGCAGCTTTTATTTCTTCATTGGCTGTAGGTGAAGCCTTTAATATAGGTAATATAGATAGTTCCAGCTGAAAAAAATAAATTCGTCTCGAGTCTCAAAAGTGCACGAAATTTCAACCAAAACAGAGAAACTGAAAAAAAATCACTTGAACCACAAAACAGTAAAAAAATTCTATCTTCAATGTCAAACATGAAATAAATTTTCAATTTAACTTTTGAAGTTCAAATATTTTAAAGCTTACAACTAAACAAATGAACAAATTTAGAAAATTAATATCAAATTGAGTGAGAATACGACTGGAAATCAACATGTTCAGCACATGAATATCTAATTGAATCTTACAACTGAAAGCAAACATGTTCGGGAAATATTGAATTGAATCCAACATGTGTCTAGCGAACAGGTTAGGAATATAAATTGTAAACTGAGTCTCACAATTGGAAGTGAACACAATAAATTTATGACCACTTACGCTGAGGCAGGAGCTAGGACAGTCACTGAGACTGAGGCCGCCTTCGTCTGACATATGCAGGAGCACTTGACCGCTTTGCTCCATGGTGCTGGAGTCTCCATAGGATTTGTGTTCACGGGAGTCACAGCTTGATCCACTTGAAGCATTGGAGCTGCTCAAGAACCTGGAGCTGCCTGAAACACTGGAGCTTTTGGAGGAGCTGCTGGAGTTGTAGGAGAGGTAATTCGTGCTCAGTTTGAACTCAGGAGACGAGTTGCCGAATATTTTAAAAGGAGAAACTTCATTAAATCTATTTGAATGGGGAGGATCGTTTATCTTGTATAATGGCGAGTTGTTTTTCAAAGCTTTGGATGTAGAAGTGTCTTCAAATTTATTAGAGGTAAAATTGACACTAAAACTCGATGTCTGAGAATTTCTTAATTCGTTCAATCTTAGAAAAGCATTGCTTGTTGTAGGAGAAAATGTGTTGCTGAAATTAAAAATAGATGGTGCATCACTGGATTTGTTTGCAGCTGGAGCGTCACTGAATACATTTGGGACTGAAGCATTGCTAAATTCATTTGCAGCTAAAGCAGTGCTGACTGCGGCTGAAGAAGGCTCATTTGATTTAAATAATGAGTAGCACGCACCGGTGGGTTTGTTAGATGAAGAAACCAAGTTGAATTTATTTGATAGATCATCATGGCAAAATTTGTGTGAGTAGCTGTGTTCATCGTGTTCCATATCATCACGGATTTTCATCAAAGATGAAATCTCACTCAATTTGTCACATTTTTGTGAAGAAGACATAGGAACATTGCTGTCATACATCAAACCTGAGCAAAATTCCGGACTGGAAGCAGTACTTTCTGACTGGTCAACAAATTTAATAGGGGAAAGATGACTAAGCTGAGCCATTGTAACAGGCTGCCCAAGCAATGACGTGCAAGAGGCGGTGTTCATTGCAGGGATCTTTAGGTCTTCCCTAGAGACTGTAATAGAAGACGCGCTTTGGACAGGGGTTGTAACAGACGTGAGGCTTTCGGCAGAAGATAGGAAGCTTTTGGAAAGTGTTGTGGTAGTCGAGAGAGTTCCGGTCATGCTTGTCTTTGAAGTGATATTTCCGGCTGGAGTTGTGGAAGACATCAGGTTTTTATCAGGGGTTGTTGAAGACGTAAAGTTGGCAGCAGAGGTAGTAAACGAAGTGCGGTCTTCAGCACGGGTTGTGAGAGACCTAACCCCTTCATCAGGGGTTGTAAAAGACATGAAATCTTTGGTAGGAGTCGTGAAAGACATGAAGGTTATGGTATTAGACCCTTGAGTTGAAGAACAAGTTTCATTGCACTCACGTTGATATCCTGCAAGATCCTGGCTTGTTGAATTAGTTTCAGTCGTAGCACATTCACATTTCAGTTCACCACAATCGTTGCATTTGACGCCACGTGGAGAAATGTCACATCTGATGGGCGAAAATTGTGGAGATGGCGGAAGGATTAAAGCTTGCTCTTTGCAATTAGTATCTATAAGAAACTGTTTCTGCGATCCAACATCTGGTGACAAGCTGCACATTGGACCATGAAAGGAATCTTGGTTCATACGCGAACTTTGACGGTGATAAATATTTAAATCAAATGAAGATTGCTGCAAGTCCCCAGCAATTGGTGACAGACTCATAGCTTCACGGCCTATGTCTGTGGAATACATATAGACTGGAGACATTATTGGTGGTGTGGGTTCTGCCGCAACTTCACTTGGATGATGAAAAACACCGTCTTTCCTAGGAAAACACGTTTGCAGTATTGGCGAGCCCTCTGATTTATCATCTGCTGATTTTCCAGAAAAGCTTGTTAGGGATGGACTGCAAGATTTGGAGTCTTCGCTACTGAAGAGCAGTCGCCGACGTAGTGAAGTATTGTTAAAACAAGCGACATCATTTGTTGCACTTGCTCCATCAGGAGTTTTACTCTCAGCTGCCTGAGAGTAGAGCGCAAACAACGATTCTACATGTGCCGGCAACACGGGCGGGAACGATAAGTTTGTTTGACAAGAAATACTGACGCCTTTAGGAGCATTATGCAAAGGCATAGGAAAGGAAGGACTGGCCGCGGCAGGGGTGAAGTTTCGGCAATCGCTTGACAGTGGAGTTTGCACAGACCCTGAAGTGCAGCTACTGTATTTATGTCTCTCACTCAGATCACCAACTCTGCTCTTGGGTCCTGAATTGGTCCATGGGCTTGGCAAGATACACCGCCTAGAGAAAAACTTTTCTATTGCCTCCTGGGCTTTTTTCTCATACTCCAAGTCTTGGGGAGAGTCAACATGGGTTTGAGGAGAAGTTAGTTCTATATGAGCTGGATTAAGTAACGCAATCTGTTCAATAGACCACCTGAAATCTGAGGCACTTTTCTCTCCTCCGGCTGGTGAAATTACCTCTTTGAATAGTGATGGACTCACAGTGGGCATCTGCAGGCTGTCGGTGCACGAGTCAAATGGGTTCATAGAGCTTTGATCAATTGAACAAACGCGATCTTTTGAGTCGTCGTCATTGTGACGCGGGCATCTCCTTATATAACCTGCAGGAACGTGGGGAGTTTGATCTTGGTGAAACTGTCTAGTCAAGTTCTTCAGTGAGCCACACGTTGATAATTTAGAAGGGGTAGAAGCAGCATGATTTGATGAGGGAGAACTACGATAAGATTCTTCATTGCTACCAGCCATCTGCACACAGCCTTTGGTGTGAGGCAGCGGGCTTGATGGAAGCTGTGTACTGCAGTCAATAACATCAGGTGATGAAATGATCGTGGTGCTGAATAAATTGACTTTTGCAGGGCCCGAACTTGCATAATCTTGTCCTCCGATGATATCAGTGGAAAAGTTACCAGTACTGGAACCCACTTTTTCTCTACCTGCAATGATTGTGGTACTATACAGATTATCCTTGTTGGAGGCAGACTTGACGTGGGATGAACCATCAGAAACAGCGTCTGTTAAGGACCCATTAAAAGACTGCCCATCCCCCATGTCTTGGAAGCTTTGGGTCAACTCGTCAGTGCTCAACAATTTGATGTCAGCATTAAGATTTTCAATATTCATTCTCAATCGAGATAGGCAAACTTCCCCACACTTTTCACAGTCGACACTTGCCTGTAGCTCCTGAAAGGCATTCTTTTCAAAAATACGTTCATCTTCACTAATCGAAGTTGAACACTGACACAGCCCCTTGGTATCTGTGTCTTTCATCATCAAAATGGAGCATTTCATTTCAAAGTCTGAAGGTTTAAAGAGAGCTTCATGGTCTTGATCAAAGAACGATAGATTGCATTCAGATTGCTTGTATTTTTGAAGCTGCCCTGACAAGAAGAGGGAGACAATATCAGGGCTGTCTTGCCAACCAAGCGACAAGCAGCCAAGCTGAGAATATTCCAAGAGACTGTTAGCTTTTGATGAGTTGACAATGCTGGGAGAAGCTAGGGAGGAGCTCGGGTTGCTGGGAGAACCCAATTGACCACCATTACTCTCTTGGGACGCTGGCAGAGAAATTCGTCCCACTATTTCAGGGTGGGGAGCCCTAGCAGCAGTAGCATCTGAAGTTCTGCAAATATTGGCTTAATTAAAGTATAACATTTACAGTTATTTCCTCATTGCACACAATATTTAGATAGAATAATTACAAAAATTCAGCATGACTTCATTATTTTCAATAACAGGACATTTAATTTACCTACGGTACTTAAGGTTAAAGTTATCTGCTTATAACTTTAGCAACCTGGCCTTAACTTGTTTAAAATTTAATTCCTTATGTAAACAAGTAGGCAAAGTTTTAGTATTCTTATACCTATATTATTCAATCACATCTAAATTGAACTTGAATTGATTTCAGTCTTCTTAGAAGATTTTTCTCCATTTGATCATTTAATGAGTCAAAATGAAAAAAAAAATAATGTCTAAAGCTTTACTTTGCAAAGCCAGGTTTCCAAATAGGGTTATCATTATCACTCTTTAATGTCATTCTTCTTACGCCTCCTAACTCTCTTGTGGAGGAATCTTAGAAAATTCACTAATTTAATATTATAATAGTTTTAAAAAATTGTTTTCAATTCTAGCTTCATGATAGAAAGATTTCAATAGTAACAACTCATTGTTGGAGACAAATATTGCCAGTACTAAGTATGGTCAGAATGGTGGAGTACCTACTCAACATTCAGTAAAATTGAAAAAGGTTTTGAATGAGCACATCATTTTTCTACTTGTTCTATTTCTACAATGAAACTTTTCTAGCTATTATTACTGTTCTATTTTCAGAGTAAAACTTTTCTACCTAATATCAGAGACACAGGAAATTAATGAGTATTGACAACTTTAACAAAGGTATGTCCCAGATTAGAAAATTTTCAACACAACATATGATTAGTATGGAGACAGAAAAGCAGCAGCCATAACTCATTAACAGATAAAGATTAAATCCCATACTTAGGAGATACAGAACAAGTACTATATAAAACTTTGTTTAGGGAAATATTTTTAGCATCAGAAAAATTGTTTGCTGATAAGTTATAAATTATAAATAAAGAATAAGAATGAAAAAAAGACCAATCAACACTGTTCAGTATATATATACAAATTTTATGTTTTTAGTGGATTTTCTCATTTATGAAAAAAAGGCTCTATTGTGCTCATCATTTCAGTTTGTCCTCAACTTCACGTCATGGTTGGACAAGAAAATTCGCTTTCTGTCACTCACTGCAGTGAGTACTGATCCATTTTGTTTAATTACATTTGGGTTGGCATTATCACCCTATGACTTTTGAAAATTTCCTGTTGCCAATGCGCCAGAAAAATATCATCGACAGATAACTATAATTATCTTGTTCTTCATAACAAAGGCTCACTTTTTTCAAGCTTTGGAAAGTAATCATAAACTTACTTCCCAAGTGCTCTTGTTACAAGATCCAGGTATCCATGCACAGGAGATGAGGAACACAGCGCAATGGTTGCCTCTGAGAGCATACCACAAACTGAATTATCTGAAGACTTGTCAGCAATACTTTTTCAATATGCCCACTGGTCTCTGTGCATAATAATCTGGAATAAAAAATGTAGCAATAAATGATGTATTGAATAAATTTTAAAGTAGACCAGGAAATTGAAAATAAACCTATTTTGTTTGAAAAATTCCTTATTTGACACTGTAATTACATGCAATTAAAATTATTATCATGTTGATAATTATCACATAGAATTAAATTCCATGCTAGTATAAAAAGCAATAAAAAATTAATAATCTATTATATTATTTTAAAATTATAATATGAAATAGGTTAACAAGCATATGAACAAGGAGAAATCCAAAGATGTGAGACATGAATGAAAAATTGGAACTTTGAGTAGACTGTAGACTGTACTCTGTAGTCAGTACCATAGGGTAGTGATCATGCACATGTGTTAATAATTAGATAAGAGATAATTTATCTAGCTGGAACCTTGCAGCCCTAAAAATAGCAGAAATGCTCTAATTGCAACTTAAAAAGTAGAAATATTCTAAGGCAGTCTGCTGAATCGTACCCAATCTGGAATATCTTACAGAATTTTTACAAAAATTGCATGTGAAAGCTTTAGTTGTATGACTAACTGACTAAGGGTGATTTTTGGTAATTGCAGGCAGAAATTTGCCCATTTTCTTTTTTTTTTGAAAGAAAATAGGCAAGAGCCATTAAAATAGATTAAGTAGACAACAAGCATAGGCTTTTTTTATATAATTTTATCTTCTTCATGGTTTGCTTCTGAATGGTTGTCTAGAATGGGTTTACAGTTTCATTATACATTCAGAATTCAGTATCCATGGCATATGTTACAGATAGGGACATGGGGTAGACGGTAGACCCTCATCCAGGATTAGCGCCTCATGGTCTCACTCTGGGCCCTGGGGATGGGGGACCAGCAACCAGGATCAGTGGTCACTGGTCATGGACTCATGGTCACTTTTGGTCAGGACTCAGGACATCAGGTCAAGGTTAATTCCTTTACAAAAAAGCAAAAACACATCAATTTTTTATTGCATAGCCATAGCTCAGTTTATATAATTATATCTTAGGATATAATTATATTATATCCTAATATATAAAGGATATAATTAATAATTAAGGATATAATTATAGCTAACTAAGCTAAGTTGTAACTAAACTGATTCTGCTGCTGAATTGATTTAATAACAATGTTTACCAGTTAGGCTTTCATTTTTCTCTCAAATTCCACTTTCCACCAAATCATATGAAAGCAATCCACAATCCACATTCCACCCTTCAAGTTCAAATTTACGGCAGTCGGCAATTTGGCATACGGCCATACACATACTTAGTCATACTAAGTACTAACTATAGTAACTAGCCTTAAGCGGTTAAGCCTACCATTAAAACACTAATTAACTAGCCTAGCCTATCACTCATCTCATCAGTAACTGATGATAGACTGATAGTGATGATTGATGAATACTTGAATTATTATTGAATAGTAAATTAGTAATGATAAGTAATCCAGTAATGTAATAATTGTGCATTCATAACCATAGTTGGAAAAAGGTCAGTACTCATTTCAAATTTTCAATTAGCTCAGACTTCAGCGCCTGGCCCCTACCACCACGGCGCCACCGGAAAGCAAGTTACAACACTTGCTTTAATTTTGAAGAAAAGTATTGAGACAACATCCTGAGCGACGAACGTCTTTAGAGTTAACTCAGTTAAGAGGAAATTTCTAACTTTCTGAATAGAAATTAAATGTAAATTTCAAACTGCAACGGATCATGCCATCACAACATTATTATTTATGAGTGTACTCACCCGCCTCTCATTTACTCACCCGCCTGTGCCGCCTCTACGCTACTGCTACATTCACGATACTGCTACTGCACAACAACAACATTTGAATCCAGGAGCCAGCAGGCAGCAGCAATTCGAATTTTCCGCGTTAAGTAGAATTGCGTACGCGCACAGAAATGACCATTTTCATAAATAATTTTTCTTACTATCATCAAGAGGTCAATTTCATTCGTAATAATAATAGGGAATTCAATTTTCTTCAATGTTCATGCGAATGAAATATGGTATCATGAGAAAGTGAAGTGCACATTCATACAATGAATGGGCTGCGTGGAAATGCGAGACCCGACCCAATCAAGTAAGCGTGAGAAGTGTTCCCAGCTGATTGCATGTGATATTTATGAATAAGGCTCCTCCATTGCTACAACGTTAATTCTTATAAAAAAGGCAATTCATTTCTCTGAATTTTTGCACTCAACATAGCTTTGACTATTTCAATAAAAGAAATTCATTAAAAGCTCAAAACTAAGAATATTTTATACTGTCGTTGATTACATGTCCCTACATGTAGCACCTGTACATCGTCTCATTTCATTTCGATTCTTTTTTTAGGGTGTACTTAGAGGTTGATAACTGAATATATTTTAGTCTCTTAGGATACTGTAGAATTTTTTTAACCAACTTATTTTTAAATGCCTATGGAGACGCGAATTTTTTTACACTTTTTTAAATAAATGAATGTATGACACACCCATGAACAACCGGTCTAAAGGTCTGACTAAGGGCCGGCGAGCGCCCCTATCACAATCCCAATTCTTGTTTAGCGTTTTCCGGATGTTTTCTAGACAGAATCGTTTGCGGTTACGAATGTAGCCTGAGAAGCTTTAAAACGATAGTAACAACAAAACAATAGCAAGCGTACTCAAAGCGTTGCAACATTAAAGCTAACCACACATAAGTCACCGACTTGCAATAAAAACGATACTGAATTATGTTAAAGTGCGTTGTAAGAACTTTAAAAACTTTTAAAGTAACTTAATTTTTTCTTTGTCATTATATTTGAGCACGGTGACTCAAGAGAACTGGCGACACAAATGTCATTGACGGCTTGACATTTCCAGACAAAATTCGTACAGGTTTCGGAAGTTATCAATCACTATTAAATATTGGTAACGTGGTAGCCGCTCGTTTGTAACAGGTTGCTCGGCCGAGTGATTAAATTAATGAGTAGCAGAATTGGAACGGTGAGTTGCGGGTACGATTCCAGCTAGCTTTAAAAATTCCAGTCAACGCTTCCAGGCGGTTGGTACCTAAGCCTGCATACTTTTATGACGACGAAATGTGAATCCCGAGGCTAAAATCGCGACATGCCCGGCACTAGCAACTCAATTAACGATCGTATCCGACGCCAATAAGAGTGTTATTAATTTGAAATTACAGATTGATGGCAATCACATCATTATTGACTGGCGACCACTATCTCATAAGCAGTATAAAGTCAACATGCATGTGTGTGACGCCAACGGACAGACGTCGATAACAATAACCCTAAAGCCAGGTTCACATCATACTGCCGGGTACGTGCCCAGCATATGCCAGTCACGGTCCAGTCCAATATTATTTAATGCAGTTCCATAAAAGCATCTACAGTTTTCTACACCGATAGGCATGGCAGGTGCTTTGCACAGCTGGTTTGAATGCTTCTATAGAAATGCATTGAAGAAAATTTCACTGGACCTTGACTCGCATATGCCAGTCAATCCCATGTTATTCACAATATTATAGCTTATCGCATTGAACATCAGATTTTACGTCATCGTCGATGTAGTCAATCGATGAGATTAAAGAAATAACATAGTGGCATCTATCTAATAGATGGTACTAATGCTTTAACGCATCAATTCGTCCTTATAATACCACCTTGAAATAGCACCATATTAAGCGCAGATTAAATAATGAACTGCAACACTTTACGAATAAAACGCTTTATTGTAACAAATTATTGCAGAAAATAATCGCCTCTATCATATAAAACGCAACTCTGACAAGCATATCAAGCGATATAATAGTTTGAAAGAAAGCATATTCTAAATCATATCAAATTGGGATTCATGAATAAATTGCATCCTATTTGTAATCAATAGCCAGCAAAAATGCGTTCATTTCATGATGGCACTTCATTTGAACTGACTATGCATAAACTTTTATAAAGCCTTTCATTTCCGATACTTCATAAACCATTATATCAACCTATGTTACTGTAGAAAAATTTATTATAGAGCTAAATTATTATACATGATCTTAGGGTGTAAAGGCTACTGATTAATACTGATCAGAGATTTCTCTCCCATGACATAGTATTCGACAGTTAGAATATATATACTATCTTTCTCAATTACAACCTTGGTCTGTGGGAGCGCCCCATTAGTAGTCATCGTCCAGATTTCCTTCAGCTCCAGCTGAATCTAGACCGACTTCCTCGTAGTCTTTCTCAAGGGCGGCGACGTCCTCCCTGGCCTCGGTGAACTCGCCCTCCTCCATGCCCTCGCCAACGTACCAATGCACGAAGGCCCTCTTGGCGTACATCAGGTCGAACTTGTGGTCCAGACGCGCCCAGGCCTCAGCGATGGCCGTGGTGTTGCTCAGCATGCACACGGCACGAGATACCTTGGCCAGGTCCCCACCAGGGACCACGGTGGGAGGCTGGTAGTTGATGCCAACCTTGAAACCCGTGGGGCACCAGTCCACGAACTGGATGCTCCTCTTGGTCTTGATGGTAGCGATGGCAGCGTTGACATCCTTGGGCACGACATCACCGCGGTAGAGCAGGCAACACGCCATGTATTTGCCATGTCGGGGGTCGCATTTCACCATCTGGTTGGCGGGCTCGAAGCACGCGTTGGTTATCTCTCCTACAGACATTTGCTCGTGATATGCTTTCTCTGCGCAGATAACAGGCGCGTAGGTCACCAATGGGAAGTGGATGCGAGGGTAGGGCACCAGGTTGGTCTGAAACTCGGTCAAGTCGACGTTGAGAGATCCTTCGAAGCGCAGAGATGCTGTGATCGACGACACTATCTGGGCAATGAGCCGATTTAGGTTGGCGTAAGACGGACACTCAATATTGAGGTTACGACGGCTTATTTCATAGATAGCCTCGTTATCGACCATGAAGGCACAATCCGAGTGCTCCAGCGTGGTGTGTGTGGTCAAGATCGAGTTATATGGCTCGACCACAGCAGTGGCAACCTGAGGTGCAGGATAAATAGCAAACTCAAGCTTGCTCTTCTTGCCATAGTCGACGGAGAGTCTCTCCATGAGGAGGGAAGTAAAGCCTGATCCTGTGCCACCGCCAAACGAGTGGAAGATCAAGAAGCCCTGCAGCCCCGAGCAGTTGTCTGCCGACTTACGGATGCGGTCCAGCACGACGTCGACGATCTCCTTGCCGATGGTGTAGTGACCGCGCGCGTAGTTATTAGCGGCGTCCTCCTTGCCGGTGATGAGCTGTTCTGGATGGAACATCTTGCCGTACACGCCGCTCCGTACCTCGTCTGCACAATTAAAATCGAAGTTGACAATAATTTAAGACGTCGAGTATTTAATGCCAAATTTCAATGACATGAACTTACTAATGGAGCGAGCTCATAACGACCAGATGAGAGCCCACTCCAGCATCATCAAAGGGACGTACATAACACGTACAGAAAATTTCTCAAGCCCAACATTTCTTAAGACCAACTGGCACTCGGTCAAGTTCTTTTTTAGAAAAACACTTCGTGGAAATTAGACCCAATATTACGCTCGGAATGTTTTGCAGAGCGTATATGTACCTCGTGAATCCAAAATTTTCGCCTTGAGAAGACGTGGCAGGGCTGGCATACTAGTCACCTCAAAAACTCTACCCGTATTCTGTCATGCTAGGAAACAAAGAGAGCATAATTTGCCACGGAGGGTCAGGAAATGACTGTTCGATTTCCTCTCGTGAAATTCTCAAATGCGACGTAGCAGCTTGACAGAACACAATTAGTTTACGGAAAGCCAAACAGGAACACAAAGAACCAAACTGGAACACCCAGAACTGGAACACCCAAAAAATCGAACTGGAACACCCAAAAAACCGAGCTGGAACACCCAAAAAACCGAGCTGGAACACCCAAAAAACCGAACTGGAACATTCAAAAAATAACTGGAATTCCCAAGGGTGCGGTTGACTCACCGATGACGGAGGGCTCGAGATCGACGAAGATGGCCCTGGGAACGTGCTTGCCACTGCCAGTCTCAGCGAAGAAGGTACCGAAGGACTGATGGTCGTCGGTCGTCTTGCTCGAAGACACGCGGCCATCAGGCTCGATGCCATGCTCCAGGCAGTAGAGCTCCCAGCAGGCGTTGCCCATCTGCACGCCAGCCTGGCCCACATGGATCGAGATGCACTCACGCTGGGGAGGAAAGGGACGTTAGAGGGAAGGGGAAGGAAGAGACATTCGAGTGGCTGAACCATTCAGCGCTTTGGAGCGGAGGAGGCGAAAGACGTTTGGGTGGCGGGGGCAGCTTACACCTCCTAATGTAAAAGACGACACTTATTATTTTTATGCCCTCTCCTTGGAACACATGTAACGAGATACACCCAGCAAGTAAAGAATTAAGAGCATATATCGTATCAGCTGAATAAGGGAACATTACTTCAACTCTTATTCTTCTGTTAATGATGCAGCCGTTAATACCATTCGTATATAATCGCTTGGCAACGAAGATTTAACTACAGTACACTTTATTTCCTTGATAATCTACCAACTCCTGTGATGATGAATAGTAAATTTAAACCTGATGCAATACTAGAGTTAGAATAACTACAATAATTATTGGGAAAATTGAACATTTACCAACAAGCAAGTCCTGGCGTTCTAGGAACTTGCACATGATTCAGCAGAATAAAACGTATCAATATATTACCCTCATTAACATTTGGGGCACAGGCATAACGTCGCTGGAGATGCGTGTTGCGCATCCTAAATTACTTTTGTACATAATATATTATTTTTAGATCAATTTCTGAAAGTGGGCGTCGGTCGTCGGGCAAGTGGGCGTCGGTCGTCGGGCAAGTGGGCGTCGGTCGTCGGGAACGCTAATTTGTCATGACGTTGGGCGCTAACTTACGAACTGCGCAGGAATAGTTGCCAACCTACGACCCATGTCGGCAGACATTACCGAATCAATGTTAATTCACCTAACGAGCTTCGGAAATATAACCAGAACGAATTCATTTATTTTCAGCGAAACTTCATTCGTTGATAGATGACCGTCATCAGTACGTCATTATTATTCGTTTATATTTATTATTCACTGCAGAGCAATTGGTCGTCGGCTCGTTGTACGCATGAAAGTGAATGAAATTCAAAACTTCACAGTCTCGGCGTTAACGTTCGGAAAAACCCCCAGAATATGAGCACATTGAAACTTTTCCTAATTCACACCGTCGATGTGCAATATAATGCTACACGTCGTCGTCAACAGGCATTAATTAAAGCAGAGGTCTCAGTAGTAAGATGCCGGAAAATTCATCATCGTTATCAATCGTCAGTTATGGAAAGATATCAATCGTCAGTTATGGAAAGATCGGGTTCCAAAGACTGGATCCCTTGTGAATCAAGTCACGAAAAATTCAAGAATCGGCAACAGGCCATGGGCCTATTTCTTCAGTGCCGTCACTTCTATTCTATAAAGAAACTTAGCACATTATAAAAGGAAAAATGTGACCTCTGTATTTACGCGATCTTTAGCCGAGCACAACGATCCTAAGTGCACATTGGACTAAATGTGCCGCCACTCACCATATTTATTCAATTTTCTTTGTATGACACCGAGCTGAGCTTATATTGAACCACTAGGCCAAACTTCCAATAGTAGTTCTACTTCGTAAGCCAGGGTTCAAGTTACACAGATGCGCAATATCTTCGCTTGCGGTCGGTACGCATATCTTGTGATGTCATTTCCTGACTTAGTGTTGCCACCTGATAAACCTTTCTCTGCCAATAAGCGCTCTAGACACTCATAAATAATATTTTACGTTTCACCATTTTTTTATATTTTTGTTTCTTTATACAGTTTTACGGGGTTTTTATCTCGTAATATAAGGCAGGGTAAATAGGTGCAATGGATAACGTAGTGCAACATTATAAATATATGTTCTTGGTTTTCTCCATCAGTATCTTTAACGCACGATTTAAAACGTAACAGACATGAAGATAATCAATGTTTATTTTTTATGTGTTTAACGGAAAATAGAATGTCACATATTTTGCCATCAAATGTTCGACCAGAATTTAAGCAATTTGCGTGAACTACTGTCATTAACGGAATTTTGAAGTTCTAAATTTCTTTTGATAATTTTTACTGCAAAAAGGGTTGAGTAGAACCTGAAATTGTCCTTACATGTAGTTTAAATAATCACCAAAATAAATGTATGCTCGATAGTACGAATCGAACAAAGTACGCACCGAAGAGACAAATTTCTTAATTTTCAGGGGATTTTATTATTTGCATAAGAAACAACATTAAGAGTTTCATGAAATTATGTTTCATGAAAATATCCGGTCAAATGACACGAGTTTAGATCTATGAACAAGGCACGAAATGGAAAAGAATCGGCGACAGGCCACATCAGGCCTACACTTCAGAGCCGACATCACTATGTTATGAATTATTCATTTACAGCCAAAGTATCCAAATCAGCCGGTCCATGTGGGCGCTTCCAGGTTTCTCTTGAACATGCTTCTGCATCATGGGGGCGTTAGACCAGAAGAGGCTAGGCCGAAGTAGGTACAGATAGATGAGGAACTACCTGCTTATGAGCGAGCATGCATAAGCATTGGCTGAACACCTACGACGCTATTATTTTTTGGCACTTTGTCTATTGTTTGAATTCAGGAGTTCAAGCGTAGTCTGCGACTTCTAGCTAGCTCTGGGGCTGAGTAACATTAATGCATGATGAAGCTGGACGTTAGCTCCAGGGCTTGTTTAGGAGTAAAATTTGTGACCTACGGCTGCACCCCCTGATCATGCTGGTAGAAATGTCCATTTTAATTAAGGCGTGCAACCCATATTACGTGAAGAGATATACAAAACATTGTATTTTTTAACAAAGGTCATGCTCTGAAGCTAAATTATCCTGAATATAATAAACTTTTACATGTGTTCCGAAACATTCGTGCATGATTTTAAATTTACAATGGATTTTACTACTTCTGAACCATTTTATGTTCGACTCTGGCTTTTCCGATCCGGTTTTTATTTTGTTTAACCTTAATCACAATACACGACTTTCTTTGCTTTTCACTAAAAAGGTCGGGAGCGCAGCCGTGCACCACCAATTTTGTGCACCAATAAGCCCTGAATCGAATGCCTTGGATCTCTCCGGATATCCACCAATCAGCCGTGCACCACTCGGCTTTGTCCTCCTCCGGCCTTGACCACCACCTGACATGCACCACCAGGCCGCGGATCGAATCTGACTTCCGGGCATCGTTAAATTACGTAATTTTACGTTCAAATTGAATCACAAGATTTCATAATTATTGAAAAGATCACATAACCTTTTGCTTCGGTACGAAACGTAAATTTCACTAATAATTATCGTAAGATTTTAATTTAATCATATTTTAGGTCGACATAAGTTTTTGGGACAAATTGTAAAATTTTTATTCTCGTGCAGTTAATACAGAAACGCTTCTCGGATTATTTCTAAATATTTCATTATTAATAGTATAATTGAAGTTGATTATTTTATAAGTAATTTTGTACCGAAATAGAGTAACACCTTTTATCATCGCAATAATTAACACTTCATTATCATATTGATCACGACAATATATGACTGATCGCGAATTATATTATTGGCCATGTGAGGTCTATTTTAAAACTAGAACAACTTATGAGGATCTACCAAAACTTGGGTCTAGGCAGAAACACATCACTAACAGTCTATCTAGAAGGTACCCAATGTGTGAGCGCCTTACGTTTCTTTGAAATTACTGTCTCCTTGTTTAAGTGTTCTCACCTTAATCGCAAATATTGAAAATTTATCTAATTTTGACTATTCCTGCCGTAGGGAAATAATAATACCTGCTTATATTCCACATTTCAAACAGATCCGTTCAGTATTGAAGGACTTATGTGTCGTTCGGTGGCCTAAAAATTGCGTTTATTCGTTTCAATTGAAAACGAAATGATGTGGAAATCGGTAATTTTTCCTATCGCAGGGCATCGATAGTACATAGATATATTCCGAATTTCAGACAGATCCGTTCAGTATTGAAAGACTTATGGAACGTTCGGTTGAGCGAAAAGTTAGGTCTTGCGTTTGGGTCCGGAGGAGTGTCGATTCGGTTGGAAAATACATGCTACTGATCCTCTTTATGCTGCTGGGAAATGGGAATGTCTATTTTAAGGTGTGCAGCCCATATTACTTATAGAGATCTCCAAAACATTGTATTTTATAGACAACTTCTTGCTCTGAAGCTTACTTGTCCTGACTATAATATGTGTTTCGATTTCAACAAGGATGCATTTATTTTGTGATATTTTGATCAACTATTCTTCAGTATTTTTTAAGGTTGCGGCAAAACGAGGTGTGCATGTGCTACATTTTAGCGTTATGATCCTCAATTAGCTTAAACTTACATAGCGATTTAAGCGTTTATTAGGCCGTTTGCACGTCACCGATTCCTAACATTGCAGAACATCCACAGCATGTTGCGGGCTCGAACTCGCAACTCACTGCTTCAAATTTCTTTGCTTAACCGCCCGGTCTCCGTGCCGATTCTGGATAATCTGACCTTTAATCACTGGGCTGAACCACCAACTTTATCCACTTGATATAATGGTTTAGAGGAGCGTCATTTTACTGTAAACCTTTTCCAAAATATCGAATGAACCAATTCATTTGACGATGCGTTTTATTTCTAATAAAGTTCTATAGTCAGCCAAGGCATGAGTTTACTTTTTACAACACTTCTCTTTAACTTCACTTCTTGTTGTTTAACTTTTTTGTTTAACTTGTTGTTTGTTTGTCTGCTACAATTCTTATAATCGATATATTTAACACCCTTCTACCTGTCCAATCTATGTGAAATTTTGCACGCTAGCATCAAATCGGAGACAATGCATGAATCAATTGAAAAAAAATTATAGATATTCATACATAAAAAATAAAAATCATTTTTGAAAATATATCATAATGAAATAAGAAATTAATTTACATATGTACCATCGGAGACACTCACCTCTTTAGAAGTGTTGTCTTTGAAAAGTAATTTTTAAACACATAATCTACTGTCATCCTAACAAATTTGAACAGGCGTCTTTTTTTGAGCATAGGTTTATGATAGATGCTTGGTGCCTTGGTGGAGTAATAATATATTTTGAGATTCCGATGCTATTGAAATAACCACCCAAACTTGTCAACATAATTATTTGAGCATGATTTTAAATTGAAATTATGTTACTGCTGAACCATTTCTTGTTCGACTCCTGCTTTCCGATCCGGCATTTATGTTATCTGACCTTAATCACAATACAAGACTTTGATATTTACAGGAAGAAGGTAGTGTACGCGGTGCGCTTGAGGAATCAGGAAAGGAAAGCTGCATAAACGGTTGTACTGACTTCTACAGCTTGCACACTTCCATTTAAAAATTTCGGTAAGTTTTCTATTAACACGTTGACTACGTATTGGTACATATGCGTACCACGGAATGTATTTCTCCAGGAGGTAGTGGTACATAATTCAGGTTGGCCAAAATCGGCCAAATCCGAGAAGAAAAAAGGCCGATAATTCAATGTATACTATTTATTTGTAGGTTCCGCTATAAAAATTCCATTTATTTTCTTTTTGCAGTATTTAAAATTTAATTAGGAAGTACCCCTATCATAAATTTTAGCCGGCCAACGCAATTGAGAAAAACTAAATCACGGAATTTGTCCGGAAAAAATGACCGTCTGGCAACCCTGCTTAAAAAAAGTAGGTACAAAAAATGAAATAATAGTAGGTACAAGATGAAGCAATCTTAGTCAACGTGTTAAATTTTGATCTTTCACTATATTTTAATCAATTTTTAGAATTTCCTCATGACCTCATCAGCCTCAGGTGACAGGTTACTTAGTCAGGTAGCTTTCTGATATTATTGTTGCTTGTTGGTAGAATGAAATTTTGCAATGTACCTACCTATTTTTCATTCAAAATCTTTGTTAGCTATTAGGCTAATCCTGAATTTCCAGATGAGGCCAAGAGGGCCTCTTGAAGAGGCCCTCATGACTCATGGGGCGAAGGGGCGTGAAAGTGCGCAAATATTTGATGATCTTTGGCGTTGTAATTGGTGACTTCTGACTTGTCAGACCATACTTTGGCTCCCCAGTCTCCAGTCCCCCCGCAGCCTGCCCCATCCATTAAAAAAATTGTCAAAAGCCTATCCCCAAAAAAAACCTCAAACTGGAGATTGGCAAAAGCCAAAAGCCCATCCCCAGTCCGGGGGCAGTCCCCACTCCCAGTTGGCTTATGCCAACTCCAGTGACCATAATCCAGTACCACTGCCACAGTCCACCAGTCCACCATCGTCAACATGGCACAGGGCCCAGTGGGCCCCCAGTGCCCCAGTCCCACGCCCACCTCTGCTCTGGGTCTGGGGGCAAGATTGGTATTACTTTAGATTAAGTGCATAAAAAAGGGTGTTTTTTAATTATATGTTTTTGGGGATGTAGATTAAGAATCTAAAATTTGTTTTTTGGCGGTCGGCATCGGAAATTTTTAATGGAACCTGTTCCTAACTGGACCTAACCTGCCAGGTTTTCGTTGATCGGCTAGGTTTTTTCTATGCTTGGAGTCTGTCCAGCGGCCGGAAAAACCTAGCCAATGGCAATAGGTTTTTTCTATGTTTGGAGTCCATCCGGCGGCCGGAAGAACCTAGCCAATCAACGAAAACCTTGCAGGTTAGGTCCAGTTAGGAACAGGTTCCATTAAAAATTACCGATGCCGACCGCCAAAAGCGGATTTCAGATTCTTAATCTACACCCCAAAAAACATATAATTAACAAGATCTTTGGAAACATATCTGCATGAAAATTTATGTCTTTAGTAGATCTTGCTGGCAATTTTCTCATCAAAAATTTATTTATACATGTATTTTTGACAAATGACAAAAAACCTAATCATTTGGCAAACTGCCTTGGGCCTGAAACAATGATTTGCCATCTTGGCAGCACAACCTAGTAGGCTAGTAGCAAACCTCCAAACCAGAGATTTTTAAAATCTGTTTATTTTTAATTTCCTCATCAACTTGATATTTTAATCAATTCTCATGTATGAAAATGCTGGTCTTCAAGATACTTATTTGTTTAATTGTGGGACTAAAAAATAAATCTGAGAAAGGGGCAACAAAAAATGTTCTCTTTTACCGCTATGCAAAACAGTTGCCAATTCAGTGAATTGCCAAACTTTTCATTGTGGTGCTGTAGGATTTTCCTGCTATTTCAATTCTTAATATGTAATACACAGTACACACTATTGTTTTCAATATGATTTTGCTGTGACTGTGAGTCTTATAACTAATGCTAACTAAAATTCCCATCAAATAAACATCTCCTTATTTTTTAACATAATTAATAATTTGCCAATTTCTTATATTAATTCTCATGAACAATGGATATTAGGAACAATCGATATTAGGAGTGGTTTCCAAACTGGAACACCAGATTTTTCCAGGAACTGAAATTTTACACAGCCACACTTTCTCTACATGAGCAATTCTGATGTTATTTATGAATCTTATTTTATTATTGTATTGTACTTTTCCAGTTAGCACCTAGAAGTTATGGGGCAACCAGCTTCTGTCAAGCGCCGGAAAAGGAAGGTGGGCAGCTTCCAAGTGCTAAAAAACCGTAAGCGGGTCACAAGACGCAAAAGACATCAAAAGACCAGTGGTCTGCCTCAGTGAGTCAGGAATCTTAACACTTTCCAAATCAAAATTCTCAGTTAAGTTTTTATCCTATACTATTCATTAAAAAAAATTTCTAGCCGAGTTATGTACAATTTGATATACCATATGTACAGGCTCTGCTATGTCCATAATCACCAACTTGTGAGATCTTGAGGCTTTTTAGTCTTGTTAAAACAGTTCTTCAATATTGTTCAAAATGCTGCCTTAAGGTGGATTTAATATCCATACAAGGTCCAGTGATGAGATTATCTTAATTTTTGATGCATGAAGACATGGTAATTTGCAGGATTCTACTTTATAAGTTTATTGAGATAAAAAATTTTTGGAGGTTCCTGCTATTTGAATTGACATCTATGATACTTTCCTTATAAATTTAAATGTTTAATAAGCAATATAATGATACTGATGCTTAAACTTGTAAAGCTAACCCTCAAGTCCACATTAGTGTACAAAATGTTTTGTTGAAACAGTTAGCATGCATGATGCATTACTTTTATTTGCCAATATTTCATGCCAATAACTAGCAATTTATGTATGAAAATCACTGCCGTGATTAGTCTAATATTTAGGTGTATGCTTTAAATTTTGAAGCACACTATACATACATACAAATTTTAATATCAACAAGTTTGCAATCCTTCAGCTTGCAGTTTCTAATATTTGTAATAAGCCAAAATTCTGATCGTAAATGACCTTTGTGTACTTACACAATTCTTTGCACATTCCAGGATTGGTCTGGAAGCTGGAACCGGAGGCCAGTGTTTAATGACCCGTGTCGAGCAAGGGGGTCTTGTCGCAAACCTAAAAACGCATTTTAAGCCAGACAAGAAGATGGTGAGGCTAACTTCCATTATTTGCCTTGGAAAAATGTTTTTTTTTATTTACTTACTCTCATATTTTGAGGAAACCTTAATATATTTGGTCAATTATTCTATTTTCAGTTACTAGTTTGTTGATAATTTTCAGTACAAATTTTTAAATATATATCTATGTCAGGGGTCCTCAAGCTCCTTATACCATAAACTTGTGCAAGCTATTTTTAAGATTTAATTGGTCACAGCTTTTTAGATAATGACAAGTTCATAACCTGCTCCATAGATAATGAAGGAGCAGGTTAGAAGAGACCTAAGGTAAAAAGCTTAAATAAATAGCAAATTAATATGTAATATTTTAGCAAAATGGATATAATGTTTACAAGTTAAGTTATTGACCACTTAAAGTCGTAGGTTGTGGAGATAATCACAGTGCTATTAAGTAACATGATTTAGTGAAAATAAAACACATAATTGAAATTTGAAAATGCAATAAGAATTTACTCTATGGAATAATTTCATGTAGGATGATAAGAGATAAATACATGGATAAAAGACCTGAATAGAGGCTTGGTTGCTGAAAATGCTTATTGCTTGCAGAAATAAATTAATCTTCAAAATAATGTGTTGTTTATATTATAAATAGTTACATATTCTTGCCTGGCATTGCTTGCTATGTTGTTCAGAAATATGATAATAAATATAATAAATAAATATTATAAAATAATAAATAAATATTCAGACCAAGCAAGAAATATGAATTCTTTGATGTTATTGGAAGCCAACTGTCCAAATTTACTTAGGTTGACTAGCTCTTAGAGAATAAATATTTACATAATTCACAAACAAACTTTGTAATGCATGACATCAGCTGTGACGCTCTTGCAACTTGCTTCGAATTGTTCCTAGAGTGCCTTGGAAATGATTTATTGCTATTGAACAATATTATAATACTATAGGTAATTCTAATATTAATAATAATCCATCTTAGATACATTGAATGATTTGAAATTCAAAATTTTGTACCTATTATTATATTGTTTTGCATTTTGTTAAATCACTCAAATAAAGCAATATATTTTCAATTGGGTAAGTTGTCAGCTCTATAGGCATTTTAATTTCCACCAGTTGACTATGTTAACTATAATTTGCTAACTAAACTATAAAACACCTTATTTTAAATGCTGCATTGTGGTCTTGAAATCCCTTCTAACCCATAATTTCTTAATTAAAAAGCAGGAGCAAGCAAAATGACATTTGATTTAGTAAAAAACATCTGATTTTATTATTTCAATGCAAATTATTTCAAAATGTTTTACTATTGATTTGCAAATTGTTTATCTGCAGCTCTTCATATACTGGTATACATGAAATCATCCCTGCTAACTTCTTCCAATATTACATATAGACTAAATAAATCCTTCTCCACACATGACATCTTCCTTGCTTACTGCCTTCAATGTTTTATCCGATATAATTTTTTTTGCAGTTTATTGAAGGCATGGGAGAGCGGCTAACTAAGAAGCCGCAGCCCCAGCCAGAGAAGAGCACAGATAACAGACTTGTAAGTGTCGTCCACTCTATATATTATATTATATCTACGACCTTATATTAATGTGGTCAATTAAGAAGGATCTGTAGACAAAAAATTTAAATGAAGTTATCACCACACCGTCCTGACATTGCCTATTCTAGGCTATACTTAGAATAGGAATAAGCAATTAATTTTCTTCATTCCTGCAATGTTACTTGTTCCTATATAAACAAGACAATATTTCCTTATGAGCGATGGGTTTAATCTATACCTTAGTAATCCTTGCACATTCGTGTACTTTTGTCTGGTTAGTTTTACTGCTATTCCTACCTAGAACATGAATAATCCATCAATCATAGAGATCCAGTTTAAATTTTATTACTATAGCAATTTTAAGTTGGCTCTTACAAACTTCAAGCTTAGGTAAGATTTAATAGTGTGAAAAAATGTAAATATGTTTATTATTATGCGCCGGGTATGATTTATATTGCAGTCATTGTTGATATTTTTTACTGTAGATTGAAACTCTCGTAAAAATGTAAGTTATTCTGAGAGTTATTGATAAGCTTAAATATTTGAGTGTGTATTTATTGTAAATTGGACGTTTAGCCAATATATTGAAAATATTGTTTAATGTTATTCTATCAACGTGCAAGGAAACTTTCTCATTTGTGGAAAAAAGCGCTATTGTGCTCGTTATGTCCGTCCGTCCGTCTGTCTGTATGTCCGTGACTTCACGTTTTTGTCGACGAGAAAATGCGCTCTCTGTCACTCACTGCAGTGAGTACTGAGTTATATTTTTTTAATGTGTGGAATTTCCCTTTAGTTTCATTATCATTGTTTATTGTTATTCTATCAACGTGCAATGAGACTATTTTTTAACCTTCTACCGCAGTATGTCACTCTCCAGTAACACAAATTTTCACCTAAATTATGCATGAACTATTGCACGTTGAAACCTGAGGACGTATGTACGGAGCAGAGAACATTTTAAAGTTGTTGTACGTAGCGGTATGGTCAGTACAAGTCATTTTGCGCTCACTAGAACGTATCCTTTTTGGGAAGTAGGCTTGTGACAGTATTACTCTGCTTACTCATGTCAGGCGGTAGAGGGTTAAGTGTGTGGAATTTTCTTTTGGTTTGCTGGTTACGTAAGGTTTTGTTTATCAACCCGACTAAACTATCGCTAGAAGCAAAGGCTTATGCTTAGTTTCTGAAACCAATTTAAATATTATTAGTAGAAGCAGGTGTTAAAAATATGATTGTTACAACAGGTGGAGAACGTCAATGAATTGAGAACCAAAGCCAAGGCAAAAGTGTTGGCGCGTCGTGGGGTTGTTATGTCTAAACCCCTGGTGAAGCGCCTGGAATATTTCCTGGACAGATACGGCGAGGACTATAAGGTATTTATTACTGCATAGTATCTAGCGTGAACCAAGGGTTGTTATGTCTAAGCCCCTGGTGAAGCGCCTGGAATATTTCCTGGACAGATACGGCGAGGACTATAAGGTATTTATTATTGAATAGTATCTAGCGTGAACCAAGGGTTGTTATGTCTAAACCCCTGGTGAAGCGCCTGGAATATTTCCTGGACAGATACGGCGAGGACTATAAGGTATTTATTACTGCATAGTAACTAGCGTGAACGAAGAATATAGAACCAAAGAAAACGCCAAGTAAATTCATATAATCGTCTTGGAAAATAAATAATTCTCGTTCGCGTATCCTTTGATTTTCTGTTCGTACTGTACTTGTATTCCTTTTATATTTTCCCAATTGATGATGTGCTAGTCTCAGATACGTTTTCAATGACGATATGAATTCACTTGGCGTTTTCGTTGCACTCAAATTCCTGGTGAACTTGCAATTTATCTAGACAAATGATTTAAAAACTAACGTCAATTTTTCAGTGTTATTTTACATACACATTTTGAAATTTATGCTTGTTATGTTTGTCGGTAGTTTTTTATTAGCAAGCAGAGAGTAGAGCGAGTGGTGCAGAGGATATTATTGTTGGGCATGTCAAACAATGAAAAGATCATCAGTTTGTTGAATTCACTTTTGAATCAAGTTCAAATGATTTTTCGAGCTCGTGTTCTTTCTTTTTTGCTCAGAAGACCCATGATGATATCCAGAACTTAGTAATCTTTGTAAACTTGTTTTAAATTAAGTGACACTTTAATGTTGCATGTCATTACCTAATACCATCAGACTCGTTAAATTAATGATAATATTCAGTACTAAGCCTTCTCAGACTTGTTAGATTAAATGTTTTAATAGCGTTCTTCCCTTGAACGTGAATAATCTTACTACCTTCATGGAGGTCCAGTATTTTGAAATTCTAGTGTGCATTGATTATATAGATAATACTATGTCTGCCCTGACGCTAAAGTTGTCCAACTTTGCAGGCAATGACGCTGGACCCAATGAACTACGACCAGTGGACCGAGAGGCAACTTAGGGTTAAAGTTGCGAACTTCAAACAAACGTCTTTCCAGTTTGCCGAGTATCTCAAGGACCGAGGCTTGCTGCAGCCCCACCTAATTAGTCCTAATGTAAGCTCTTAGAATTCGCGCTTCTCTGTTAAAGTTTAAATAGAATTAAACCATCATTTTCTCTTCACTGTCATCATTTTTCCTCTACACGCTGTTTTCTCTTGAAATGAAAAGTGAATCGCAATGACTTTCGTTTTCTCTCACTCTCTCCTGTGAACTAAGTGAGACAGACCATATAAAACCATATTCGTGTAAGGAAAAAATTTTTAACCTTTCTGTGAAGTTGGCACATGCACTGCCGTATGCAAGCGCTCAACCTTTGTATGCAAATTTGTCACTTTTTTCACGTGACAACGGATGTCAAACTGTTCGAGTCCCTGTTAGGGCGCCAATTGTCTACTGATGTGTTCGAGAGTCAGTCTCAACGTGTCTTTTCAAAATGACATCCGTCGATTAATTTATATTTACATTAAATATAAAATTATCTTTGAGTACCGATAGGTTCTTATTATTTCCATAAGCTGTAACAGGAAAAAGAGTTAAAGGAAACGGTATATTATTAAATGTTAAATATAATTAATGCACGATGAGGTATTATTACAGTAGTTAAGAAGGTATAGTTAACGACATGAACGCGAGTAGGACAAGCGAGTGCCGGAGCCAATGAACGTGACAGATGCGTCTAAGGTTAGGCTGCGAAGGAATGCAGCTAAGAGGTGTTGAGCTATGACTGCCGGGTGTTAAACTTAAAGAGCTTATATAGACGCTCACTACATGACGTTACGGGAGGTGACGTCAGGGATACAACTGACGGCATGGGTGGTGACGTATGAATCAAGTCGCCAGACAATTCATCTCAAGGCTTGCAGGTGGCTTTATTATTGCTGCAAATCACACAGGCATTCTAGGAGGAAACCTCAACGATGTAGTGATTGATCACTCTATCCTTCTTAAGTTTCCACCAGGTTGCAAAACCAATGGCTTACATTGCGATAGTAATCCGGGCTTCTCTAGTGCTTTGTTTAGAAATGGTGTAGCAATATTTCTAATCGGGCGGCAAAGTTATTTCGTTTTAATGGTATTCGAACAAATTATCCTTGAGTATTTCATCAAATAATGTGAATACAGGCATTCCGTTTAATATTTTTATAAATAATATTTTTATGTAATATTAATGTAACATCTAAGATCAGTTCATAGGTGAATCTTCCAAAACTTAGTTCAATAATTTATCTCATTAATATTATTGTTTATAATTCATGTCCTAGACGACTGACGATGCTGAAATGACTGAAGAAAATTCCTCAGCGGAAGCCATCAAAAAGTTTGAGAAGAAAGTCGCTGCGCTGCGTAGATCGGAGGCCAAATTCACCGAGCGTATAACGGCCAAAACCCCTGCACCCGCTCTCATCCGTGAACTCCCGCCTCAGTCTGATGACGAAGGAGAGGAAGAAGAAACTGATGAGGAAGAGCTAGAAACGTGTGTAGAACAAACAACCATTAATAAACCCGGCAAGAAAAGTAACCAGAAACGCCGCCAGAGAAAGAAAGAGGCAAAACAGGCTAAATTAAAAAGACTGCAAAAAATTGTAAGAAAATCTGTTTGATTACAGGGTTGTTTCATTACCGGACACGTCTTAGTATGGTGATTGTTCATTAATTTATAATAAAAGCTTACTCGTTGTGCACTTTTATTACGACTTTTTTACATTTACATGATTCGGTTTTACTAAAAAAATGTCTATACAGGAAAATTTGCCTTTGAACTGTTTGAGGTAATATGATAGCGTCAAGTTCTTTCTTTTCTCTAAACATTTACAATGTTAGTTGTTTTGAGACAGTCACGTATCTAAAATATTTCCATTACAAAGTGCATCTCAAGTTGGTCATGACCCAAATCAAAGATTGTGAATCATTCGCACAGGTGCTTCGTACTTGGTTGCTATGCTGAGCTACACTTGTTTCATATCAAAGTAATGATATGAGTTCGATGCTAAATAATTTCAATAATTATGTAGTCTTATTAGTTGGATTATGATAGCGTTACCAATGTCGCAGACAAACTGCAATGTCCAACGGGTCCAATAGTTCCTATTTATTGTCAAATTGGCCAGAAGTCCCCAATGATTAATATAAGTTAAATCCTAATGTATCAATGTTCAATCGATGATTAATCACCAGGATCGTTTGAGGGTCCAGGTGAACCGATATTATATGGTGTCCAGAGCAGTCCAGGGTTCTAGGTACTGTCCTAATAAGAGGCAGGTATTGATGAGAAGTCGATAAACTTGAAGTTCAAATTATGAGTTCCCCACACTCAGACAAATGTCCGAATTCGTTCTCATTTATTATTATTTTTTTGTGTTACTGCTTCTGATCCTGACAGCATTTTACAAAGTTAGGTGATTAATTCAAATCGTAAAAGTCTGGAGAATGAAGCGAGATGGCTTTGTATTTACTCGGGAATAAGAAAAATGAGCCTGATTTCAGTTATATAAGGCATTGGATAACCATATGCCCTGAATAGAGTTCTTCCTTTGTGCAGCATTTTCAACCTAAAAATGTTGAAAAAATAAAAGCCGTATGTTCTTGACTCGTGATAATGCTTGATTGTGAATAATATTTTACAATATTATACCATTTCATCTGTGGACATCACATCTCTGACACTTTTTCAGCCGGTCTTGCTGCCTGGCCTTTATTCCGGGAATCTTCTTGATAGAAGAGGGCTACAATGTAATATAAATTTATATCATGATATATGGATTTTTTATCAGTAGCATTTATTAAAATTAACTCAAATAAATGCATTGTCATGACTGGGAATTTCAAGCGAGTATTTTCCCGCGTTTTTTGATGTTCCCACAATGTTTGTTGAATTCGTGTGGTTTCTCTTTAAAACCACACCCCGAAATTATTCTGAATGTTATCAGAAAAATATCAAAGCTAAGATCAATATCACTTCAAACTATCCGCTAATCCGAAAACTCAATTTTAGTTCCATAGAAATTAAGCTTTAATATATTTAAAAGTTTGAACTTTCGTGATGAAAACTCTAGAATCCTTGTTGCACCAATCACAGATGTGCTCTCTCTGACGTCACGGTTAGTATATATACTTGGGCGCGAATTCGAAACGTCTCATAGCTTGATATTGTGGAGGAAGCATCGGCAAGCCTTTGCAAGTCAGCATCTTTCCATTGTCTTCTGCGCCTATCTTCAATAAATCAAAATGGTGAGTGCATTATATCTTATGTTTGTTTTTATCATGTTAATTACTCATAATGTTTACATCTAAGTTGAGCTTTCTATTAGTATTAGTCAATTGACAATTTGTAATTTCATTTTATTGCTTCCATTGTTCCGTTCCGTGGCTTGCGGATCAATTTCAGTTTTCGACTCATTATTGTACTATGTTAATGTAGCTAAGGATAAAGATTGACCTTAAAAATCTGTAGTAATCGACAAAAATTTTGGTAATTATTTATTGTAAGGAACGCATTGATCGGCTAGCCGGTAAGAGGTCCAGCTGAATTCCGCCCATCCAGGCGGGGCGTGGCGCCGGTTTCGTTCGCACACTTTAAGAATTTTTAAAGTGTATTTCACTACCACTGTAAGGTCTTGTTAGTATTAGTTACGTATTTACGTATAAAAAAAAACCTGTGCGTTGGACTTTAGGTTCTCACGTGTAACTTGTAAGGAGAATCACTACTTTTGACATTGACAAGTTTGTGACTTACTAGCTAGCTAGTAGTAGTAGGACTCAGGCTGGTGACGCTGGTCCAGCATGAATTTATTTCTTATACTAGTATTAGTAATGACAGGGACAGCTCTGCATTGACTAGACAGTTTGTGCATGTTCCAGAATTGCTATTGGAAGGTTGTGGGAATTGGAGACTGGGGAGATTGTTTAGATAAATTTAGTTTTTAACTCTGTATAAATTGAAAAATACAACCTCTGTTCTGATGATGCTTTCCAATTTCTATTTCTTTGTACCTATTCAATGAAAATTTCAGATCTTGATGAATATTAGGTAGGCCTACTGCTTAGCTACCTACTAAAATTACTGTCAAGTGTCAACCAAGTGCCATTAGGCCTATGTTGATAACACATCTATTGTATGTAATTTAGTTTGGCATGCTTAATATATTATACCTATTATTAAGTAATTAGCCTATTATAGGAGGCAGGTTAGGCATAGGAAAAAGCCAAAGAACATGCTTAGAATTTGAGTATATAACACCAATGGCGGTCAACTACCTAACTCAATTTGACTGTTCATAGAAATTTAAAAATATTGGATCAGTTACTGTGTTACATGTCTTTGAAGAAATTGAAGTATTTCACATTACTGCCTAGTGACTAGTGTCCATGTTCAAGATCAATATATAAATTATTAGGTTTCTGTGTTCCAATAAAAGTCTCAATGTTGTACTCAATAAGAGTTAAAATGTGATTTTTTAATGCCTGAATGCAATTGATTCATTATGAAAAATATTTACTTCACACTGTTTTGAAGTCAAGTTTAGAAGCAATGATAAAATAAAAATGACTGAAATTTACTGAAAATTTTGAATGATCTTGCCAAAATATGGACTTAAGTATCTGGTGGTCTTTTTTTTCAAGAACAATTTCATGTCTTGGGTAATGAAGGAATTATAAAGAATAGGTTAGAATAGACCTTTCATAATTAACTCATTGTATAATAGATTTTTTGATCAGATTATACTGTTTTTTTTTTTTTTTTGTCCACCTGACAACAAACAATAATTTACATCAATGACACAGCAATGCTTATGATATCAAAAACCCTCTTTTGAAATGAGAATGCAATGAATAATTCTTGATACCATTTTTCTATGATATAAAATAATTGAAATATATTTATTAGTTAAAATATTGGTGTATTGGGAACTTGGGAAGATGTATTCACTCAACAGAAACCATAAAATACCAGAGAAAATTCTGTCTTGGTATTGTCTTATTCCAGTTATAAATTCTAAAGTAACCAGGCAACTAGAGTAAACAACTCGTATCTGATAAAATTAAGTTTTATTATTCTTCCTTTTCTCAATAGGTGGAAATATACTTTTTGTGTGCATGTGTGTGCATTCTGCAACTGATATTTTTCATGTTTTGAGTTGAAGGATTTGTTCAATTTTGGACTCAAATTTTCAGGTGCATATAGTCACTCTAATTTTTCCTCCCCAGCGTGAGTGCATCTCTATCCATGTGGGCCAAGCTGGCGTGCAGATGGGCAACGCCTGCTGGGAGCTCTACTGCCTGGAGCATGGCATCCAGCCTGACGGTCAAATGCCTGCTGACAGAGCCGGCGGTGATGACTCATTCAGCACCTTCTTCTCTGAGACTGGCTCAGGAAAGCATGTGCCCAGAGCAGTCTTCGTTGACCTCGAACCTTCCGTCATCGGTGAGTCAAATTCATGTCCCTATTCAGTGCTGGCGTCTAAATGAATCATTTCCCTTGTACACTACAAGTTTAGTACGGTTTTGTAATGCATAGCTAAGAGAATCATTTTACAAATCCCACAGTCGATACAAATGAGACACTTATATTTTGGTTAATAAATAATTGAAGCTATACTTTTAAATAGTCTAGTTCTTCATTAGTAGTCGCACTCCGATGTGGAAGTATCACATTTTTTGGAATCGATTCAATTGTTGGGTTTGTGCAGACGAGGTACGGAGCGGCGTGTACGGCAAGATGTTCCACCCAGAACAGCTAATCACCGGCAAGGAGGACGCCGCTAATAACTACGCGCGCGGTCACTACACCATCGGCAAGGAGATCGTCGACGTCGTGCTGGACCGCATCCGCAAGACGGCCGACAACTGCACAGGGCTGCAGGGCTTCTTGATCTTCCACTCGTTTGGTGGTGGCACAGGATCAGGCTTTACTTCTCTCCTCATGGAGAGACTCTCCGTCGACTATGGCAAGAAGAGCAAGCTTGAGTTCGCTATATATCCTGCACCTCAGGTTGCCACTGCTGTGGTCGAGCCATACAACTCAATCTTGACCACACACACCACGCTGGAGCACTCGGACTGTGCCTTCATGGTCGACAATGAGGCTATCTACGAAATTTGTCGTCGCAACCTCGATATTGATAGGCCTACGTATGCCAACCTCAATCGCCTCATTGGTCAGATTGTGTCCTCCATCACTGCGTCTCTGCGTTTCGATGGCGCTCTCAACGTCGACCTGACGGAGTTCCAGACCAACCTAGTGCCTTACCCTCGCATCCACTTCCCATTGGTGACCTACGCGCCTGTTATCAGCGCAGAGAAAGCATATCACGAGCAGCTCTCTGTTGCAGAGATCACTAACGCATGCTTCGAGCCCGCCAACCAGATGGTGAAATGCGACCCCCGACATGGCAAGTACATGGCCTGTTGCCTGCTCTACCGCGGTGATGTCGTGCCCAAGGATGTCAACGCTGCCATCGCTACCATCAAGACCAAGAGGAGCATCCAGTTCGTGGACTGGTGCCCCACGGGCTTCAAGGTAGGCATCAACTACCAGCCTCCCACCGTGGTCCCTGGTGGGGACTTGGCCAAGGTATCTCGTGCCGTGTGCATGCTGAGCAACACCACGGCCATCGCTGAGGCCTGGGCGCGTCTGGACCACAAGTTCGACCTGATGTACGCCAAGAGGGCCTTCGTGCATTGGTACGTTGGCGAGGGCATGGAGGAGGGCGAGTTCACCGAGGCCAGGGAGGACGTCGCCGCCCTTGAGAAAGACTACGAGGAAGTCGGCTTGGACTCTGGAGATGCAGAAGCCGGCGAAGGAGAAGGTGATGATTACTAAATGCATTTAATTTTTAGTATACTGATACCAGAGGAAATTGAGGATGTCTGTGATTCAATAAAATGTCATGTGCCATGTAGATTTTTCATTTTTGCCGCTACCGTAAGTCCATTGCATTGGTTACTTATCAAGTACCACTCTCGTCCTTAGGATTGATATATTTTCTCGCTTTTTTTACAAGGCAACCTTAAACGACTGCATTGCGTAAGCTTGTGCATCAATTATACTGTTGTGTGTAAAGGTCACTGTGGGCGAGTTCAGGAACCATAAATACAAATTGACATTGGAATGTGAATAAAAGACGTGTTGAATCCATGATTGTAGTAACAAAGTTCTGAGCGTTCATGCTAAGAAGGCTGAAAAATTAAGCTGTGTGGCCTATCTCATTGCGGTTTCAAACGATATAGAATAGACTAATAGCGAGTTAACAAGCTAATTTCAATTAGAAACTTTCATGCTCCACTCATAAAATTCAAGGTTGATCGTGAACCGGCTGAGGGTGTGGTCGCTCACTTCTTGACTGAAGGCAAATAATAGAACGGAGGCAAGTTTCTGTATAATGCACGTTGAATTGAGGAACATTATTCCGAAGCAGCTGCAATGTACCTCGCGACGGTACCGACAAATTCAGATGGTTACCAGAGAATTTAAATTGGTTTATAAGATGGATTACGGATAGATAACGTCGTCCAGCGGCATGATACCGCAACTTTCGGTGAAGTTCAAGAACGCTTTTGCTCTTCTACTGGAAGAGCTAATTGTACGAAGTTTTTCCTAAAATACTGTCCATACACACGACTTTCACTCGTTTCACGATTCCATTTAGGGTACTTGATGGAGGTAATGTTTCAGCTTTGACAAAATCATCTAGTAACTTGATTACCAATTGTCTACGCAGGGCATTCAAACGCTTGTGCTCATACCCCGTCTATGTTTCACTGAAAGTTGAGACGCCTACGGCAATATTGCACAAGTCTCACGAAACCAGATTCTAATACCTAGGCAAGTAATACGGCCCACCAACATTGCTAAAAACCTTTCCAGTGAAATGGATGAAATTAATGTTCGAATTTTGAACGCCATTTTGCCGGTGATGAACGTCATAAATTTGTGCAATTAGAACGTACAAGTTTCGCGTTCAAGCAAGTGCAACCATGAGAAATAGACGAGATTTTTCCAGCCGGAAGAACGAAACCGAGTGATAAAGCTTTAACATCTCAAAGCCTCTTGGAATGTGAGCGCAGACAAATGATCAAGAATTTACGATTGCATCGATTTGATCCAAATGAAAGTTTCGTATGAACACTCAGCTTTATCACGTTCACATGTATTGTAATTACAATTGCGAGAATCATCCAAGAATGTTTTACAAAAAAATGAATTGCACCAACTTTCCAGTAACTTTCCGCTCGCTAAAATATCCCCGCCGGCCAAAAGTTAATTTGCAAGTTCATTCACTAATGCGCGTCAATTTCAAACAACCAATATTGCACAATAGATCGCCGAAGTTCCAGATCATCTTACGCGCCGAAGTCGAATTGCGAGCTCGAACTAGTCGTTGGTCTATGCATCTATCTCTTTACTGCACACCTACAGCGATAAAGATACTGCCCACTCATGCCCCTGCCACACCCTGTCGAATATAGCGATGAAATCGACATGTTTCAGATTACAACTGGTATAAGAAAGACATGGTCATCCATGCCAGGGCATGACGAGGGTGCTGAACACAACTAAAAAAAAAAAATAATAATAAAACATGGTTTCGTCACACGGAGTGAGAGGGTTGTTGCTAACTTAGTAATTATTTGATTGTTCATAGAAGAATTACGTAGAAAGATCATCAGAATGACTTGTTGTTGCTGCCTTCTCTTCGCTTCAGAACAATATGCAACATAAGGAAATATGCTGACGCCACTACGCGGAACGATTTAAAGATGTACTTAGAAGCAACACCTCAGTCTGCTCTCTACGAGACAAATAAATTTTGAAATTTCGGTTTATAGGAAATTAATTTCGAAACCAAAATTTTGAAATTTCGGTTTTGGTCTACTTGTACGACGAAGTTGACATGGCCGACCTTGACGAAGTTGCGACTCCTACGAATAAGGTTACTCAAAGAATAAACATAACCGAGACCAGTCACGGATAGCTCTTCAATCACTTGCTTACATAGTCAACATACAGCGAAGGCTAACAAGAAAATAAATAATTACACACAAGACGATCTACATCTCCAACGACCATGTTCCCCCATTAGCGACTCAGGAGGCTTCAGTGTTTGATACACGTACCTATAATAACGGTATGAATAGCATTCATGTCACTATCTAGGTATGAATAGCATCAACAAAAACTTGTTTATTTCAAAGTTCAGGCGAGGTGTTCGTATCAATGCACGGTATATTAACACAATGCAAAAATTAAGAAAAAATGCTTAAGTGAAAAAAAAAATCGATCTGCATGAACGAGTAGGGTATGAATAATCATCCTGGTAGGGATGCCAATTTGACGACCAAGTGCAATTTATTGAGGGTAGAATAGCAGTTCGATGAAACGACCATTACGGCCAAGGGCGGAAATGCATTCGCATGAAGGTATGATTATTGAAGTTCTCATATTTTTGGTCTAGTATCGCGTTCAACACGAAGACTATTTGCCAGATAGAATAACTGAAACAGAGGAGGAAGAATAGGCTTCATAACAACAATTCTGAAAACCATCGGTATTGCAATTTTGAAAAGAAAAATTGACGCTCTCAGAAAAATAGATCAATTAGGAAGCGAAACAAATTGCATCTTGACGAGCGAAAAACTTAACGAATTCGACGTGCCACGGACGAAGCAATCCTTTATCCTCAAAGATAACTCCCGTCACGATGCCAGACTGAACATTAATTGAATGCTCACCTAAACGAAGCGAGCTTCTACACACATTTGTTTGAAGTCCGACTTCAGCTAAATCCTATCGAAAGAACGGCTAATGCATCATTCCTGTGAAGATTACACACAAGGCAAAATATACAATAGGATCTACTGATAATTGGGAGAATGTAATGGTTGTATCAAATGGGGGGGGGCGTGATTGCTAACTAGTTGGACATACGCAAGCAAGATTTATAGTACGGACTACACCGAAATTATACAACCCTGCTGTACTGCCGCCGATGATGCTTTGGAGAAATTGCTCTTATAACTGAAATTTACGAGCACAGCTATTTTAAAATTATTCCACAAATAAATTCTACTTTAACCGTGAAGCAAGCTGTTCATTACGAATAGTGACTAAATGAATAATTTCTTCTATCGTCATTTATTACTTGTTCAAATCATACTATTCCGATCCAAATTATTTTACACGAGAAGAACTTGAGTGTCTAGGGAACGATGAATTACCAATAATAAGTTACAGCAATAGCCAAGGATTCCTTCATGAAGGGAATACCTTCTTCTAGCACAGGAATTTTCAACAAAATCCATCCCTTGAACGGCACCAACTATTGGTTTGACAACACTTCTGAGCTCAATAGCAAGTCCTTGAAACGAAAATTAGGCAGAAAGCTCTAACAGATGAGACCAGCGGCACAAATAAATCCAAGGACTAACTAACGAACAGTGCATCTTTTGACCAATAGAAACAGCGCTCACAAGTACAGTCGTAACGCTGCTAGTGAAATAGACCTAGCAGCAATAGACCAGTTAGACGTGTAGCATAAGTCGCTGTCTGGGGTACATTAGACGAAGATCTCGGGAATATGACGAGTCTAATTTAGCTAGTCTGACACTGGACATGTTGCCGGCCATGACCATCCTCTTCGTCCATATGGCCGCGACGACGACGTCTGTGTGACGGGTCCATCTCCTGCAGCCTGCACTCCTCAGCATCGTCAGGTACAATCACCTCGGGCCTGAAAGAACGTAAACTACTGCACTATTTTCCCTTAAATACCAAGAGTATATAGCAGCAACAGCAGCAGCTGCTGCTCGATAGATATTTTCTTTATGTAGTATCAAATACAAATCAAGTTCAATTGCATCAATAATAATAATAATACGGCAATTCCCAGGATTACTATTAATCATAGCTGACACGCCTCCACTTCTTTATATTGACCAAGGTTCAGAATCCTGTTTCAAACGATCACCTTAATAAAGATTATGTCGAGCACCTTAATAAAGATTATGTCGAGCTTAATAAAGATTATGTACTCATCAAGTTAAGGTACTTTATGAAACAAGATAACTTCTAGGAAAATAAGAATCCATACCAAAATACAAATCACCTGCAAATTAGCAAAGAACTCACCTAGCAGGTAGGATGTTCTCAAGCAGACCGACGGCTTCGGGGGCAATTTTCTCAGGGAACTTCACCAGGAATTGGATCACGAGACGTCCTTTCTCGAAGGGGTTTTTGTACGTCGGCATACCTTCACCCATAACGCACTTGAGGCTCTCGTGCTTCATTACTTCACCTGCACAAAAAAATGAATCATTAATCCATCACATATCCAAGGGTCTCGCGCTTCATCCTTTCACCCTTCCATGCAATAAGGAACCTTTCACCCATTACACACTAAATTTCACACGTCTATCTCAAAGCTTAAGCTTTCACAAATAAAAAGATTGACTGCAATGGTTGAAACTTTTAGATGCCATGTTCTTTCACTGTTCAACAAATACTCAACAGTCACCATTCGGCAGTAAAACTTCATCATTCGACTGCCACTCACGAGTGATGATCGAGATCGGTGACTTTTCACCACTCACCGACCAGTCATCATTTTGCGGTGACCTTTCACCACTCACAGCTAGGTAGTAACCTCACACCACTCACACTAGGTAGTAACCTCACACCACTCGCCCACCACTCACCAGGTATGGAGCTGACGACAATAACGCGGTCGTCCAAGGTGGTAATCGCGCGCTGGAAGCCACACAAGGCTTCTACGAGGCTTAATTCCATACTCATTGAAAGGTCGTTGCCAATACGCCTGTCAAGCAAGCAATATTCTAAGAAAAATTCTTTTCATAACTGGTTGTTACATATAATTTTTCAGGTTAATATACAAGATTGGATCAACTAATCTTGTTCATGCATTATACACTTGACAATATATACCCTATTTTATTCAAATAAGCAATGCGATCATTGCTTTTATTACTCGACTATTATTCAATCCTGCTAACTCATCAGGAGGGAATTGAAGCTGCCATTGAAGAGCACAGTCATGTCCCTGCTCACTCATCAGCCATATGACATATGATTCAACTACACCGCCACCGCAATTTAAGGACTTTCATGACAAAACCACACAACATATCCTATGGATCATTATACAATATCAGCTCAAAGTTATCCTTTATCATCACCGACAAAAATTACAAGCTGGTGTTCAGGACTCACTTGAAGGTAGAATGCTCCTGTTCATCGAGCACAATGACAATATCACCAGGCTCAATATCAGGCTCTTGGTCGCCTTCACCATTAAACACAATCTTCTGGCCGTCCTCCATGCCTTTGTCTACGTTCACCTCGAGTATCTTGCGTTCACGCACAACCTGCAATAATGACCATTCTATTAAAATTTTATCTGGAGCACATTCGAGTCCCATGCCATATGTAAAGTTTCCAACGCAAATAACATGTAGCATTAACCATATAAATAATAAAAGACAGATGACAGTAGGTAGTGACAGAGATATTTTTTTTTATGAAATCATAAGAGTTAGTGGGACAAACCTTTTTGCCCTCACAGGTCTTGCATCGATCCTTCAGGCTTACACGCTCACCCTGGCCTCGACACTCTCCACACATGCTCTGTACCTGTGACACCATGCCCGGCCCCAGCTGCTGCACTCGCACCTGAGGTGAAGGTTACAGATATGAAGTCATTTTCAGCTAAAGATGTATTCAGTACAATAACCTACAAGACTAAAACATTCAGTTAATATCAACAAACGTCCTTAAAAAACAAAACAGTACAAACCTTTCGGACAATCAACAAGACATCTTGCCATTTCCCTCCCTCCACTCCTCAGGGACTTCACTTCTGACATCCTCCTCCTCTTAGTATCCTAAAGCTCTATAAATCTCTATACACTCGATTACGGACACAGTGCTCCCTCAAACAACCAGTCGATCGCTGGAATCCCCTCCTTGACGGTCCTCTCATGCCCCACACTCTCACTTCCACAGCCTTCTTTCAGAATTAGTTCCATTATATCATATCTCATATGCCATATATCCCATCTAGTGCATGACAGTTTCTTTCTCATCCCCATCAGTTAAAAATAACCTCTAACACCAAGCTAGACTAACTGCTACCCGTGTGCAACTGACTAGAAGGTCGCAAATAATAAATAATAAGTGATTGGAAATAAAGGATGGCCAAAGCTGGCACGATGTTGCTGCTCAGCTCACCTGCATGCCTGTGCCTCGGCATGTAGGGCACTTCTCAGGAGGCTTCTTGCCGCCCACGCCTTTGCACTTGGAGCAGATGACGTGCTTCTGTAATGCAAGCTTGCGCACAGTCCCTTTGTACAGCTCCTCCAGCGTCACCGACATCTGATGAATGACGTCCTTTCCTCTGCAGGGTGCACGATTGTGAGACCAATTCACTAACCCATTATCAATCACAATATAAATCCATTCAATTGTATATTTCATTAAATGGGTGATTTATTTATTGAAATCTATACAAATACTAACTGCTGTCATATAGAAATACATATATACCATGACAACCAGTTCTACAGTTCTGCTCCAAACATCTTCCACCCAGTTGCTCAGTATTGCTTGGATAGTTTAATAAAACAAGGCTAAAATTGTATGCTATAACAAATCTTTATGCTTAAGAAAAAGATTCACACTACATTTACAAACAAATCTAGACCCAATATGTCATCCATCCTATTCAATGGCTTGATAATCCCAGCCATTTCAGAAACCAATCATCCTGAATTCATCATTCTTGTTGTCTCTGAACCAGTTCCCAATAAGAATAGATTGTATTTGTTAATCAAAAAATACCCACTCACAACCACATTTTACGTGAAACATAGGACTCCCATTTGACTCAACTTTTAAAATGTAAACAAAAACACTTAAGGGCATTTTAAGTTATATTTTAATATGGACAAACTAAAACTAATGTTTCCATTTATGTTCCAGTAATTTCTTCCGTTTTGCTATGCCTTACTATTCCCTAACTAATACTCCAGGTACAAGTTATATCCTGCCTTTAAAATTGTCATGGAAACGTGCCCAATCAGCCCCTATATATTAGTGGAGCCGTAATTCAAACAAACACACACCCAAACTTTGACAAATATTGCCCTAAGAAATGCTATAGAAATGTTACTAACTTGCGTTCTCTGCTGCGGCGCCCACCACCTCCCCCAAAGAACATATCAAATATGTCCATAGGAGATGAGAAGCCACCCCCACCACCACCACCTCCCTCCTTGAGTGCCTGTTCTCCGCCTTGGTCATATATACGTCTTTTGTCTTCATTACTTAACACCTCATATGCTTGGGAGATCAGCTTGAACTGTAATTGAAAATGCAATTTTTTAAGCAAAATTTTTATCTTTCATGCAATCAATATGTATATTTAGTAATGAAGGGAATGAATCATCTATGAATAGTTAAGATGAAGACATACTAGGAAATTTTTGGCATAAAGTGGTCTTTAATAGTGAAGATAATAGGGTCGGGTAGGATTCAACACATATACAATGAATATAGCAAGTTATAAAATATTGAAAAGATCACACCATATTTATAGGTAACAATAACAAGCCAATAAGTTTAGCAAGGTATGCCTATAATTAAAACTTAGGTAAACACATCAATCATGGCAGCAGCAACTTACTTTTTCTCCCTCATTTGGATTTTTGTCAGGATGATATTTTAGTGCAAGTTTTCTGTATGCCTTCTTGAGCTCATCTGTGGTGGCATTGGGCTTCACGCCCAGCAGATCATAGAAGCCAGTCTCTTTAACCATGATTGATCAAGACTATTAAATAGGCTTATCTGAAAAAAAAATAAGAAGAATGAACTAGTAAAACATTTGTACATGTAACATTCAGACATAAAAATATCAGTCCAAAGTTGCTGGTATCAAAGGCACTCCAGAAACAAAAATAATAATACAAATAAAATTCAGAAGGTGGAACTGTCAAAAAACAAAATATGAATACTTTGGATAGAAGTTGAGTGTAAATATTCTGGTTATTACATATTTCTTCAAGAAAATAACCAAGTTTTAGGGTTAATTCCAAGGCATACCCATACAATACAATCCTAATTCATAACTATATTATCTCCCAATATAGAAGTCATGTATGCCATCCAAATCAAACACATAGGTATATGATAATTGCAGGCTACTGAGGCTAATAGTGGGCAAAAATACCTATGACATTAGTGATTAGCTTAACAAGAAAGGTGAAGGTGTGGCCTCAGTCAACTTTTCCAAAACAGTTCTTGAATAGGGCATCAAATTTTTGAACTCAGAAGATGCTCACTGTAGGATGGCAGTGTATGGCTAATGGCTGTATCAGCCTGTATGCTTACTGAATACCGATTACCGAGTGCTTAGTATGTTAGTAATCATAAATAACTTAAGTAGATACTATTTAAATAACAAAATACAGATGACAAATGTGGAAAAAAATCACAATTTTTACACAGCTTTCGAAAATGATGTAATATTTAAAGCACCTTAACTACTTAACAAAATTGATACTTTGTTAGCATAATAGCATTGGCAAGTATTTCCAACTCCTTATTTAGTCTACCTACATTCAGCAATATAGATCAAACAAGTGGCCAAAAGGTACAAGCAAAGGTCTAAATTAAAGCTGCATCACCAGACACCGAATACAGTTTAAACACTCAAAGTTGAACTTGTGAGATTACCGAGATAACGATACATCATACATCGGAAACACTCCCGCAGGCAGGCCGTAACTACTCTACACAAAGAAACATAGTTTCGCATTTCCTCACTAAACAGATTTGATAGAACAAAGTTTTGATATATATTAAATTCAACTATTTGCTTAAAATACTATCGAAGATTTTCCTGAAAAAAATTGAGCACATTGTTTCAACTTGGACTGTCGGACACTGGGCTCACGATGTCGATGCGCTGCAAAAAAAAAAAAAACTCATGGTGATGCTTTTTAGATTGGCCATTAGAAGGCCACTTTAAGGAAAAGTTTATTTTTAATAACAAAACCAACTTAGGAAACAAATAATTTCAAACATACTATTAGATAATTCACTGTTAAAATCGAGTACTTACCAGGAAAACAGTATATTTCAGTTGTAAACAGAGCTACTATTAACGTGCACACACCGTTGGTTGCCTCGCAATCGAATGTTCTGGATTACGTTGCCAGAAGCACGTTTTCAGCTGATCATGTTGACGTAACGCTCGAACAAATGAGAAATTTCGATCAATAACCCAGTCTTCTGTGTGGTAAAAACAAAGAATTTTTATGGCTGAAATGCAATAAATAAAGCCAAATTATCCTAAATTGAACTTTATATCTGTTTTACTCGACATATTTAGAAATTTCATCTTGAGATGATACATGGTTTCAATGTGCCGAGAAAGACCCGGAACGTTGAAGTACATTTCATTTTTTTATATGAATGACAAAATGTATTTTGAAGGATAAATATATAAAAATATCGTTTAATTACCCCCTAACAACAATTATACTTAAATCAGGTTTTATTTAAATTTGGCTAGGTAGCTGCTGAACAATTTTACTTACCCATCAATATATATGACTGATAATTTTATAAGCCAAGCTTTTTCTATAGCAATATTTAAATTAATTTTTTGTTTTCAAATTTGTTACAAAAA